AGAACCACTTCAAGTATGAAAATGGAGATTGAGGCCGTAACAAGAGCGCTTGGATGGCTTTATGATACAAGACCAAGAACTACTCATCTCATCTTTGTCACAGACTCCCAGAGCATCTTGCGAAGGGTTGAGAAAGGGCTTCTTCGGAGTGAATGGATGAACCCCATACAACACTCATCACTTACAGCCATCACGTGGATATTCTCTCCTGGGCACTCTGGAGTGAACGGTAATGAGGAGGCTGATAGGCTGGCAGGCAGTGCCGTGGTCGATGGTGAGGTGAAATTTGACAAAAGCGAAGTGCTGAAGACCCTGGAGAAAAAGTTGCGGGATGAAGAAGACAAGGAGACAGCAGAACATCACGCAATCATTAGGATGCGGGAAATGGGGATAGAGAGGGGAGAAGGAAGAAAGGAACGATTATCTGGAAAAGAAAGACGTCGCCATAATCAGACAGCCACCGGAACAATCAGTATGGATACCTTGCGGGCTTTGGTGCTGGGGGGAACTGAGCACTTATGGACCAGTCCGGTGGGCAATGACGTTGTTGCCCAGGACAGGTAATACAGGTAATACAGTTAACAGCGAACCTTGGAAAACTAACCACCAATCTTCCTGGCATAGGGCACCCATGAAATAAAATCTAAGTATCCAATAAAATAGAAGGTACAGTTTACTTTCTTTTTATTGAAGCTGTAATTCGTAAAACTTTTACGGCGCTCCCAACTGAATAGGATCATAATGATAAGAGCCCTATGAGGACATGAGCGTCCTATTTTTCTGGTTTGGGTAACGATAAAAAACAATTAATAATATGTCTCCAACAAACGCGCCCTGATTCCTTAACCTCCCTTTTTCGGTTTTGTTCGGCAGAGAAGAACGGGACAAACGCCATGTGGAGACGTGATTTCAAATCTCACTGTCCGAAAATCAGAAAACAGATGACCTATTCTTGGACCACGAGGGTAAACAAGTGAACGGGTAAAGTGAGAAATAGGACAAGTCTATGTTTAGATTTAAAACAAAACAAAACAAATAAAAAACAAACAAACAAAGAACAACAACAACATCAACAACAAACAAACACCACACA